GTAGAGGGGATGGAAGCTAGGGCAGTTGCATGCTCCTCTTGTAGGATGTGGGGGGTAAGGGTCACTACTAGTGTTCATTCTGACTTCACCTGCGAAAAGTGCACCCAAACCGCGTTAGGGAACTGGAGCTGGGTTAACTCCGGATCATTCGGGAGGCTGAGGGGGTGATAGAGAAGAGTTATACGGAGGTTGTCACACCCAAGTTACAGTACAAAAGTAGGTGGCTGACTGTCAGGAGAGGGAAAGGGAATAGGCAGATAGTGCAGGGATCCCCTGTGGCTGCTCCCCTCAATAATAAGTATATGGCTTTGGATACTGTTTGGGTGGGGGGACCTACCAGGGGAAAGCCATAGCGGCCATGTCTCTGGCACTGAGCTTAGCTCTGTGGCTCAGAAGGGAAGTGGGGGAGAACAGGACAGCGATAAGAGATTCAATGGTTAGGGGAACAGACTGAACGAGACTCCCGGATGGTATGTTGCCTCCTGAGTGCCAGGATCAGGGATGTCTCGGATCGAGTATACAGGATTCTTAAGGGGGAGGGTGAGCGGCCAGAAATCGTGGTACACATTGGTACGAATGACATAGCTAGTAAAAGGGATGAGGACCTGAAAAGTGACTATAGGGAGTTAGATTGGAAGCTAAAAGCCAGGATGAGCAGAGTAGTAATCTCAGGTTTACTACCGGTGCCACGGGCTCGTGAGGCTAGGAATAGACAGTGAGTGCAGCTGAACACGTAGCTACAGAGCTGGTGTAGGAGGGAAGGCTTCAGTTATGTGGACCATTGGGATACCTTCTGGGGAAGGTGGAACCTGTACAAGAAGGATGGGTTACACCTGAACTCGAAGGGCACCAATATCCTAGGCGAGAGGTTTGCTAGAGCACTTCAGGAGGGTTTAAACTAGTTCGGCACGGGGATGGGAACCGGAACGACAGATCAGAGGATGGGGTAGCTGGTGTACAGGCAGATACAGCATGCAGACAGTCTGTGAGGAAGGATAGGCAGTTGATAGGGCAAAGTTGCAGTCAGTGCGATGGGTTGAAGTGTGTCTATTTTAATGCAAGAAGTGTAAGCAATACGGGTGATGAACTTAGAACAGGGGTCAGTACTTGGAGCTACGATGTTGTGACCATTACACAGACTTAGATAACACAGGGGCAGGAACGGTTGTTGAATGTTCCAGGGTTTACAATTTTCAAAAGAAATAGGGAGGGAGGTGGGGGAGTGGCATTGCCAATCAGGGATGGTGTCACAGCTGCAGAAAGGGAGGTTGTCAAGGAGGGTTTGTGCACTGAGTCAGTATGGGTGGAAGTCAGAAACAGGAAAGGAGCAGTCACTTTACTGGGAGTTTTCGATAGACCCCCCGAGTTGCAACAGAGACACTAAGGAACAAATTGGTAGGCAGATTTGGGAATGGTGCATAAGTAATAGGGTTGTTGTCATGGGTAACTTCACCTTCCCTAATAAAGACTGGAACCTCCTAAGTGCAAATAGTTGAGATGGAGCAGATTTTGTCAGGTGTCCCCAGGAAGGATTTCTGACTCAATATGTAAATAGGCCGACTAGGGGGAGGCCATATTGGATTTGGTGCCTGGCAACGAACCAGGCCAGGTGTCAGATCTCTCGGTGGGAGAGCATTTCGGTGATACTGATCACAACTCCCTGACCTTTACTACAGTCATAGACAGGGATACGAGCAGATGGTATGGGAAAGTATTTAATTGGGGGAGGGGGAATTACAATGCTATTAGGCAAGAACTGCAGAACATAAATTGGGAACAGATGTTCTCAGGGAAATGCACGACAGCAATGTGGAGGTTGTTTAGGGAGCAGCTGCTAGGAGTACTGGATAAGTTTGTCCCACTGAGGCTAGGAAGGGATGGTAAGGCGAAGGAACCTTGGATGACAAGACATGTGGAAAATGCAGTCAAGAGGAAGAAGGTAGCTTACTTAAGGCTGAGGAAGCAATGATCGGACTCTAGAGAGCTACAAGGTAGCCAGGAAGGAACTTAAGAATGGACTTCGGAGAGCGAGAAGAGGGTATGAAAAAGCCTTGATGGGTAGGATTAAGGAAAACTCCAAGGCATTCTATACTTACGTGAGGAACAAGCCATAGTGAGGTAGGGCCAATCAGGGATAGGGGAGGGAACTTGTGCGTGGAGTCGGAGGAGGCAGGGAAGGTCCTTAATGAATACTTTGCTTGTGTATTCAGCAGTGATAGGGACCTTGACGTTTGTGAGGACAGCGTGAAACAGGCTGATATGCTCGAACAGGTTGATGTTAGGAAGGAGAATGTGCTACAAATGTTAGAACATAGAACATAGCACAGTACAGCACAGTACAGGCCCTTTGGCTCACGATGTTGTGCCAAACTTTTACCCTGAAATGTTGAAAAACATGAGGATAGATAAGTCCCCTGGGCCAGATGGGATTTACACAAGTTGCTACGGTAAGTGAGGGAAAGATTGCTGCGCCTTTGGCGATGATCTTTGTGCCCTAACTGCCCACAGGAGTAGTAGCAGATGATTAGAGGGTGGCAAATGTTATTGCCTTGTCCAAGAAAGGAAATAGGGATAATCCTGGGAATTACAGACCAGTCAGTCTTACTTCTGTGGTGGGCAAATTATTGGAGAGGATTCTGAGAGATAGTATTTATGATTATTTGGAAAAACATAGTTTAATTAGAAATAGTCAGCATGGCTTTGTGAGGGGCAGGCCATGCCTCACAAGCTTTATTGAATTCTTTGAGGATGTAACAAAACACATTGATGAAGGCAGAGCAGTGGATGTGGTGTATGTGGATTTTAGCAAGGCATTTGATAAGGTTCCCCATGGTAGGTTCATTCACAAAGTAAGGAGACATGGGATTCAGGGAAATTTGGCTGTCTGGATACAGAATTGGCTGTCCAATAGAAGACAGAGGATGGTAATAATGGAAAGTATTCAGCCTGGAGCTCAGTGACCTGTGGTGTTCCGCAGGGATCTATTCTGGGACCCCTGCTCTTTGTGACCTTTATGTATAACTTGGATGATAAGTAGAAGGATGGGTTAGTAAGTTTGCTGATGACACGAAGGTTGGTGGAGTTGTGGATAGTGTGGAGGGCTGCTGCAGGTTGCAACAGGACATTGACAAGATGCAGAGCTAGGCAAAGAAGTGGCTGATGGAATTCAACCCAGAAAAGTGTGAAGTGATTCATTTTGGAAGACTGAATTTGAATGCAGAATACAGGGTTAATGGCAGGATTCTTGGCAGTGTGGAGGTACAGAGGGATCTTGGGGTCCATGTCCACAGATCCCTAAACGCTGTTACCCAAGTTGATCGGGTTGTTAACAAGGCATATGGTGTGTTGGCTTTCATTGGCAGGGGAATTGAGTTTAAGAGCTGCGAGGTTATGCTGCAGCTCTACAAAACCCTGGTTAGACCACACTTGGAATATTGTGTTCAGTTCTGGTTGCCTCATTATAGGAAGGAAGCTTTACAGAAGGTGCAGAGGAGATTTGCCAGAATCCTGCCTGGACTGGAGGGCAGGTCTTATGAGGAAAAGTTGAAGGAGGTACGGCTTTTCTTATTGGAGCAAAGAAGGATGAGTGCTGATTTTATAGAGTTGTACAAGATGATGAGAGGCAAAGATAGAGTGGATAGCCAGAGACTTTTTCCAAGGGTGGAAATGACTGTTATGAGGGGGCATAATTTTAAGGTGATTGGAGGAATGTATAGGGGAGATGTCAGAAGTAGGTTCTTTACACAGAGAGTGGTGGCTGCGTGGAATGCACTGTCGCAAATGATAGTGGAGTCCGATACATTAGGGAAACTTAAGCGACTCTTGGATAGGCACATGGATGACAGTAAAATGTAGGGCATGCAGGGTAGTTTGATGTTAGAGTCGGATAGTAGGTCGGCACAACATCGTGGGCCGAAGGGCATGTACTGTGCTGTACTGTTCGGTGTCTGTTTCTATGCTATACAGCTGTTCGAAAATCTATCTTGCGTTCTAATTCACCAGTAATCTGAGATCCAATTGAACAACCCATCACCTGGAATTCATGGCAATTCTGGTCGCTCCAGTAAAAACACTAACTGCACTGATAAGGGAATGGTAAGATGATTAATCCTTGTGTCGAGGAGACAAACTGACAATATTTAAACTGAATCTTGGCAGGATTGCAGAATACATTACAGCAGGAAAGTCGACTTTCAGAGTCCTGACCCGGCTTTCCTGCTCCTCTGATGCTGCCTGACCTGCTGTGTTCCTCCAGCTACACACTGCGTTGACTCTGACTCCAGGATCTCCAGTTCTTGCAATCTCAATGTGGAAGAAAACTTCATCCAGAATCACAAATTATGATATGTTGCACAAAAATGCCTGAAAATTTACTGAAGAGTCAAACTTTAGTTGAAACTATGTCAACTTCAACTCTGCCTTCTGCCCATAAACATGCTGATTCATTCCAGAGAACACTGTCTTACACTGCCTCCTGATCACTTCAATTCTGGGTCAGTAATTTGTATTTGTTGAAGTGAAACTTTTGTACCCACAAACCCACTGCACAATTCAGACACATGCAAATGAAAACGCAGCAACTCTTGTTGTGTTTTCCACCTTTAGTTTACCCCAAGCTGAAAGATGTGGGCATCAACTTCACTAAAACTGCTGCCCTCGCAGTATCAATTCAGTTCAGTGAGAACCACGATGACCATTCGGAGCACAGAGAAGTGCCCACAGATAAACCAGCAGCTGCTGCAGGCTCACGAGACGAGGGTCGACAACCACCAGAAGGAACTGGAATCAAAGGGCAAACAGGATCCTGGGGTGGAGACAAGGGATCGGGGTGTGGAGGGATCGGACTGAGGGGTGGATCCTGGGGAAGGGATGAGAGGCTCTGAAGGGTGGGGAGAGATCCTAAGAGGGGATTGAAGGATGCTTGGGGTGGGGGTGGGTGAGAGGGGAAAGGGGTCTTTTTCGGGTCCTCTAACACCAGCCCGTCGCCTCTCCGTACTCACGCATCAAGAGGCTGAAAGCCACGACCCCGAGCAGACCCTGGATGAACATCCCGAAGTTTCCCATCAAGGCGCCATTCTCGCAGCCTCGGGACCCGGGGGCTGGGTTCCCGGCCGTAGCAAGCGGGATGCTGATGTTGGAAGCGGAGTGGGAACGGCGGAGCAGCCGCTTCACGGTATCCGAGCTCCGGAGTCCGCTGGCGGCCATTGGTTTGGGATCCGACCCAAGACTTGAGGCAGTCACAGCATCAAATCTCCACAGGCCGTCCGCACTGCTTTCTGGGAACGGCACTTCATGCCGCAGTGCATTGTCAAACGGCAGCTTCCGGTCCACTACTGGAACTCCCGGCATCCTCTGCAACAGGACCATCACCATCTGGTCAGTGAAAAAAGTTCAAATATTTACACATCACCGTGTTCATAGGCACCTGCGGGTCGTTGTTCATCAGCTACTGAAATATCGAGGAATTAAAATGCTTATGAATTGACGGCACCCGAGAATTTGGCCGAAATGAAGACTTCACCAAGACAACCAATTTCTCAATCCACACCCTGTAATCCACCAACATTCCCCATATCCCCATCCTGTAATCCACCAACATCCCCCGCCAAAACCCGACCGTGTAATCCACCAACATTCCCCCAAATCCCCATCCTACAATCCACCAACATTCCACCAAACCCTCACCCTGT